ACACACACACACACACACACACACACACACACACACACACACCAATGTGATGACACTTGCAGAGCTCTTTCCCGCTCAGGAACCACACCTGTTGGCATTTTCGCAAACCCAGCATTGTTTCAAACATTTTTCACAGCTCTACAACAACAAAAAAGTTTTTGAGACATTTCTTGTCAAGCTGGAAGTGTCACAGGTTGACAGCAATGTAGAACATGATTCAGATACGGTAACAGCTGAGAGTGCTTCTATTTTGTTGTTATGTTTCATTCAAAGAATGAGGATACATCTTTATTTATTTTAGCCGTTTGTTTTTACAGTGTTTAGACAATAATTTTATGTTTGAGTTTCCTGCTATAATTTAATGTCTATAGTTTTCACTACTAAAGGCGTAAAGTTTTGACTTGGAATACACACAAAAAATATTTTGAACCATTATTACAATGTGAAATTATTCAAAATGTTCTTAAACTCTGACACATTGACAAACAACATTTTTGACCTGAAAAAATATTGTCAAAATTGTCATTGGAGTGAATGCAAACACACAAACTCAAAAAGATAATTACAAAAAAATAAATAAATAAAATCTAACAAACAACACCAACAAAAAATAACTAATAGTAATAATAATAGAACTTTTATCTAACAAAAACAAAGGGCTGCAGTAGACTGAAACAAAACACCTGGCAGGAAGCCAAAACGCAATGAGACAATGAACCCGGCAAGAGACAGAATGGAGCAGAGGAAATGAAGTTGGGAATAGATGAACATATTGGAGACTGGAGTGGCAAAATAAAATCAATGAAGTACAAAACACACATGAATAAAGACCCAAGATACTGAACTCAAACACAAAGATCCCAAAATACAGCAAACATAAAAACACAAAAGCTATAAAAGTATAAGTGGAGGTGAAGTATGAAATAACTAATTAAAAGCAACAGAAAATGATTTTAGGTAAAAGTCATAAAACTGCTCACAATAATCTGGAAAGTGAACTTGTTCCACTAAACTGAGCTGAGTAAATTGTTTACATTTACTGTAGTGGACCCATTTGGTTGTGCAAATACAATACTTCATTTTAGTAGAATGCATAACAGCTCTTTTCATGTTTAACAAAGCACGTATCTAAAAGAATGATTTTAAAATCACACTGATTTCTCCAGTTAAAATGAGCATTTGTTTGGGCACTTTGAAGAGTGAGAACTATTATCAAATGATCTAGCAGAAAAATAGTGGAACTTTTGAAATATTTTTTTATTTGTGTTTGAACCCCCCTCCCCCCCACACACTCTTAGAATCACTCAAAAAAAAAAAATCAACCATCAAACAACACAGGTAAGAGTAAATGCTTTAGCGTGAATGTATACTTTTTTTTTGGATTATTATTTTTTTTCAACCACCAGAAGTTACGACACGCACCGATTCATTAAATTTCATGCTCGGCAGGATTTGTGTTAACTTTCAATATGCAAATCATCTGGTCAAGGTGTGGAGAGAAGAGGAAATAACGTAAAAAATATATGATTTTGTTCCCGACAGCAGGGTGACCTCCCATCACCACCCTCCAACCTCAGCTATAAAGCATGCAGCCTGGCAGTCCATCAGCAGCAGGTGAAGCACGGTGCTGAAAATCATCAGTCTGGCATTCCTTGTCTAGCAGGTAACTAGAATTTCCTTCTTTTTTTAAAAAATTTCAAGCTATTTTCTTTAATCAGTTCTTTGAAATGTTTGTCAATTTTAATGAATCAAAGAATTTAAATAAAACATTTGCCCATAGTGACTGGCAAATATACAAACTTTATATTACTTAAGTAGAAATTTTGATCTACCTATCTATTTATATTTTAGTAATTATTTTTCAGTTGACTTTTTGTTGCTTATTTTCAAGCAATTTTTACTCCATGTATTTTAATTAAGGAATAGCCTACATTTTGTTTTATTTTAATTTTGGCTTAGTCTTATTAAAGAAAGCCTGTCCAGATAAATAGTGCCTCACATTTAAAAATAATTTACATGTTGTTGGATGAAATAGGCTAGTAAAATAAATAATATTCTGACAGCCCATTTTGTACTTGGTCCATCACCCATGGCACAAATCACACTCCAGCAGGACATGGCAGACGTAACATTTTATTATAAAATCATCATTTTGTCATAGAAACTGTGGGGTTGTGCACTGTGGCACAGCCTAAACTTTTGTCCTTCTTGTTTTTTTAAATATTCCTTACAATAGTTTTATTCTTTAAGTAGTTTTAAAATCAGGACTTTCACACATGAGTAAAATTCACGAGTCAAAACCTTTATTTGAGTAATGAATGTGAATACTTTTGACACCTCTGTGCAATCTTATTCTTACAGACATGAAGATTTTCCTGAACTTGCTGGTTGTGGCTCTGACCTTGTGCTTGCAGTGCCAGGGGGCAGGTGAGGATCTTGTCTAATATAATCCTTGACATTATTTGCATTTAAAGGATTGGCACCATGAATCTTTGTTGTTTATAGTGAACGTTTTTGGAAAGTWTTGCAGCTGTATGATGGCTTACCACTTTTTACATTTTGGTTCTTTAAACTAAATGYRTGTGTTTTGTGTGTTTTTAGAAGCCAATTTGAGTCCGGATTTTATAGAAAAGTGTGTGAATGAAGCTAAGGCCAACGTAGACGCAGTCTATACATACTCTAGACGAGAGTGAGTGTAAAAGACATTTTTTAAAGTCAAATGTTCCAAATCAATGTATTTATAAGTCTGACCTCTCTGCACACAGGAGCATTRAACGGGTGAAGAGAGACACAGCATCACCTGCAGACATCCTGAGGCTCCTGAAGCAGCCCAGAGGAGTGTCCCGTATGGCTGTGCGAGCAGCTGACTACATGGACAACACACTTCATCTGATAAGGAGGTCCCTGGCAAAACGTCACAAACGTGCCATTAATGACACAGGTCTGCATTTTTATTTTTATTGATTTATTTTATTTAACCTTTATTTAATCAGGCAAAACATTACGAAGAACTTCTTATTTGCAATGTCAGCCTGGCGGGTACCAGAGACACCCATAGGGAAAAKATAGAAGAAACAAAACATCATACAAACAACATATCCTAATAACATAGAAAATAAATCACAAAAGATATAAAATATACAAAATAAATAAAAACAAAAACATATAGCATAAAAACATGGCACAAAGCGTACTTAATTTCATAAAACATATGGCTAGCAATGACAGGTCAGAGATGGTAGATGAAGCTCATGTAAAGTTGATTTAAACTGACCTATTCGTAGGTAAGAGTACAGTAACTGTAGTTTCAGATCACTTTAAAAGTTATTCCATAAGAAAGGGGCTGCATAGCTAAATTAGTTCTTCCCAAAGTTTATTCTGATCCTAGGAACTGACAATAGGTACATGTTTTGTGATCGAAGGCCCCACCTACCACACTCCTTCTTCTTCAAAGACTCACACAAATAAGTGGGTAAAAGGCCAAGAATTACTTTATAGATAAAACACTGCCGGTGAATAAGCCGCCTGACAGCCAATGGAATCCAACCAGTCAGAGACAGTAGGGTACACTGATGAGTTGAGAACTGACTACCTGTCATGAACCTTAACGCTCCATGATAGGTTGAGTCCAGGAGATGGAGTGAATGTACTGGGGCATTCATATAAATTAAATCACCAAAATCCAAAAYGGGAAGGAAGATGGCAGTGAAAAGCCACTTCCTAATGGCCAGGGAGAAGCAAAGTTTATTCCTATAAAGGAAGCCTAATTGCATCCTCAATTTTTTTAAACTAAGGAATTAATGTGCATTGCAAAAGAAAGGTTATTGTCGATAATAATTCCCAGATATTTGTAAGAGACCACCTCCTCAACGGGGGTACCATCAAATGTGGTAAGAAATGAGACCGCTGGCGGGATCTTCTTCCTACCAGAAAACAGCATGGACTTTGTTTTACCTACATTTAGAACCAGATTCAGTTGAAAGAGTTGGGATTGAATAAAATCAAATGCTGACTGCAAATTTTTAAAGACCAAATCAACTGTACCAGTAGAGCAATAGAGGATTATATCATCTGCATAAAAAGGGTAACGATGCATCTAAATCTCATCCCACACTGTTACTGAAAGCTGTAAAGAGTGTAGGACCCAAAATGGAGCCCTGTGGTACTCCATTCGAAACACCCAGAAAACCAGAGGAAAGTCCCTCACACTGTACCACCTACAAATGACCAGAAAGATAGTTGAGAAACCAACCAAGAGCATGGTTTGATAGTCCTATATTTAAGAGTTTCTGACACAATGTGTCATGAGTAGTGGTGTCAAATGCCTTTGAAAGGTCAATGAAGAGTGCAGCACAGATCTTCCCTGCATCCAGTGCTTCATAAACATCCTTGAGAACCTTCACGATAGCAGTAGTTGTGCTGTGGGACCTCCTAAAGCCTGACTGGTATGGAGAGAGTATATTAGATTCATCCAGGTAATCTATTAGTTGGATGTTTACCAGCCTTTCAAGAACCTTTGCTAGGGCACACAGTTTAGATATAGGTCTGTAGTTAGAGAACTGTGATCAATCTCCACCTTTAAAAACTGGAAGCACATAGGCCCTTTTCCATATTTCAGGTAACATGTTATGTTGAATAGAAAGGTTAAATATGTACGCAATGATGTTAGCTGCTAACCGTAGGAATACTGGGGAAAGATCGTCTGGACCAGCTGACTGTTTTGGGTCCAAGGTCTTCAAAACCCTGCGAACCTCATCCACAGTAAATGGTATAAAGGAAAATGTACTGTTAACAGGTTCACTATTAACAACAGCTACTGCTGGGATAGAATTCACAATTACAGGAGCTGATATTTTACCTGAGGCAACAAAGTGATTGTTAAAACAATTAAGAATATCAAATTTGTCCGACACCAAGAAAGATTCATTGTTTATATGTGAAGGGAGTTCAGGAGAGTGAGAATTGGAGGAGAAAGATTTTAATATTTGCCAGAACTTCCTGGGGTCTTTTAAACTGTTATTAGTGAGAGAAAAGAAATGGTCACTTTTTGCTTTCCTAATGGAAGCAGTAAAACGACTACGCAGTTGTCGAAAACATAACAAATCTGCATCGGAGCCAGACTTACGTGCAAGCGTCCAAGCCCGGTTTCGTTCATGATAAAGATCAGCCAAACTAGAGTTAAACTAAGAGCTATACTGGCCCTTCACTCAGGTGGTTAATAGGGGCATTTTATTGATAAAATTATTAAAATTATCTTTAAAATATTTCCAAGCTGTACTATTATTATCAAGCAGGGTAATATGACCCAATTTAAAGTTCAATAAGTCAGATAAGAAGGCTAACTCTATGCTTAAAGCGAGGTAACTTGGTATTCCTCATAGCACCAACCACACAATGGTCACTCAAGTCATTTAGAAAGACTGCAGAACAGGAATATTTATGGGGAACATTGGTCAGGACAAGATCAAGTAAGGAAGATTTGTCCGGGGATTTGGTATTGGAACTTGTTGGACTTTGGGTAATTTGTGTAAGATTCAAGGATAAACCATGTACCTTGAAAGTATCTGAGGTAGGCGAGAGCCAATCCCAATTTAGATACACTGCCAAAAGAATTTCATTAAAATGAAGTTTATTATGATTTCAAATAGATTTGTTTCCAAGGTTTGAACTGCAGCTCATTTTTGTTCCTTTCTTGTGTAGATCTGATCTCTGATTCGGATCTGGAAGTGATTTCCAGACTGACAGGCTGTGCTGCACAAGTCAGACAAGTAGCTTGTCACAGTATCACTGATGTAAACCAGTATCGGACTGCAAGTGGCATCTGCAACAACCTGTGAGGCAACAATTTGATTATAAAAAAAAGCAAAACATAACATAGTGGACAAAATTCTGTGTTAAATCTGATTCTAGACTTGTCTTTTTTTATATTGCATTTGTTTGAAAGATATTTGCTCCTTTTATATAGAAAAATGGTGTAACAATCGGTTTTATTTATCTCTTTCAAATAGTAAAAACACTCGTTGGGGAGCCTCTAACACCCCATTTGCCTATTGGCTGCCTACTGAGTATGAAGACGGAATCTCTCTTCCTAAAGGCTGGCATGGACTGAAAGTCAACGGTCAATTTCTTCCTCTGGTATGACTTTCTGAGTCACCTTTCATCTCTACTTCAGCACATAAACACCTGTACTCATTGTCTTCATTTTGTCCTCAGGTAAGAGAAGTGTCCAACCGTATCCTGGCAACAGCTAACTCTGAGGTCCTGAGCGACGTACGCTACACTTTCCTGGTGACCATCTTCGGGCAGTTTACAGACCATGACCTGACTTTAACCCCTCAGTCTCCTTCCATCAGATCCTTTAATAAGGGCATTGACTGTGACAATTCATGTATCAACACAGAGCCATGTTATCCCATTAAGGTCAGTGTTTTTACTTTTTGATATTAAATTATGGATACGTGTAAGATACACTTTAAAACACACACACATTCACATCTAACAGCTTCTTGTACTTTCAACAGTTCCCCAAAAAGGACCCCCGCCCTGACAGTCACCCAGAGTGCATGCCCTTCTTCCGCTCTGCTCCAGCTTGTGGTTCTGGCAACACAGGCTACATCTTCGGTGCCAGCACCACCCGCCAACAGATTAACGTTCTCACAGCCTACCTTGATGGGAGTCAAATCTACGGTTCTGATGACAACAAAGCTCAACTGCTACGAAACCTCACTTCTGATAAGGGTTTATTGAAGGTCAACACAGAGTATGATGATAACGGCCGTGAGCTTCTGCCTTTCACTGCCATGGGAGCCAACATGTGTGCCACCCGACGCAAAATAACTAATGATCCAAATGCTGAGGAGGTGCAGTGCTTTTTAGCTGGTAAGCAACAAAAAAAAAAAAAAAAAAAAAAAAAAAGAAAAAGAAAAAACCCTGTAATAACAGTCAAACTTAAAAAAATCAACCTTTCCTCAAGATGATAGCTTTTACCCCTTCTTATTAATTTAAACCCCTCTTCATTGTACTGCAATGCTCTTTTTTCTTCAGTTACTGTCTCTGCTCGTAATTTTTTGCTTTTTAAGCAGGTTTTTAGCATGTTTGTATGAGTTTTCTTGTTGTCTTATTAGTGTCTATCATTTGTACATGTATTTTTATATGTTCTGTTGTGGTTTATTGGAAAGTAATATTGTGAAGCACTTTGTGGCTACTTGACTGGGAAAGGTGCTATACAAATGAAGTTACTTATGACTTACTTACTTTAAGGTGATGATCGCGTTTCTGAGAACATTGGACTGACTTCTATACACACTCTGATGGTGAGAGAGCACAACCGTTTGGCCYGGAGACTGGCTCAGCTCAACCCACATTGGAATGGAGAGAAACTGTACCAGGAAACACGCAAAATCGTGGGAGCATATCTCCAGGTAAGGGACATGAAAACACAAACACAAAGGTTTGACAAGACAGACGCCACGTCTTGCTCAGACTTTGGTAACGTGTTAACATAGCAATTCTTTTGTACTATAGGTTATCATTTTCAGAGACTGGCTCCGCATCATCCTTGGACCAGATACCATTGCCAACAAGCTGTCAACCTACTCAGGTTATGATGATAAGGTGGATCCCAGAATTGCAAGCATTTTTTCCACAGCTGCCTTCCGRTTTGCTCATTCAATGCTTCAACCCTTCATGTTTCGTCTTGATGAGAATTATCAGAATCATACTAGTTACCCCACAGAGGTGATCCATAAAACCATGTTTACAGCATGGAGGGTCCTCTTTGAGGGTAAGACACTGAACTTCTTAACTCTTCATAAAGTAGAATTTAAAAATCATGGATCAAGTCTAAATGGTTTCATGTGTTCTGCAGGTGGAATTGACCCAATCTTGAGAGGCTTGGTGGGTAGCAAGGCTAAGCTGAACACCCAGGATCATATTTTATCTGATGAACTGAGGGAYAGGCTGTTCAAGTTCTCTGTAAAGGTGGCATTGGATTTGGCATCACTGAATATGCAGAGAGGCAGAGACCATGGACTCCCTGGTAAATATTCAGTCTAGATGCCTTGAGTCTGGAAAGCCTGATGCATAAACTACTGTAATTTCTGCATCATCCCAAACTGTGCCTTTACGTCTTTTAGGTTACAGCAAATGGCGTGGGTTCTGTGGACTGTCTCAGCCAAAGAATTTGAATGAGTTGGCTATAGTGCTAAAAAACAAGGATTTGGCCAAGAAATTGCTGGATCTGTATGGCACACCTGCAAACATTGATCCATGGCTGGGAGGAGTGTCTGAACCATTTGTCCCTGGAGGAAAGGTTGGGCCCCTSYTTGCCTGCATTATTTCCACCCAGTTCCAAAAGATCCGCCAAGGAGACCGGTAAACTCAAAGACCTGAAGATAGCTGTTTGCTGTTATTTTACATTCAGAGACATTAAACTAGAATACAATGTGTTGTTTTTAGCTTCTGGTGGGAGAAAGATGGCRTATTCACTGATGCTCAGAAGGCATCACTCAGGGAAACATCGCTSGCTCGTTTCATCTGTGACAATACTGGCATCACTGACGTACCTGAGAGCCCTTTYTTCTTCCGACCTCGTGGTTCTGGTTACACCCAGTGTAGCGATATCCCGGCCTTTGACCTCAGTCCATGGAAAGAGAACGGTAAGTTCATGCTCTGATTTTAAGTCAGTGATAAGGACATGTATCTGTCAGGTTTTATTTTTCCTCTTTGTATTATAGTTTTTGAACTAGAAAGAAGTCCAGATTGACTGTCTTTTTTTTACACCTGCTGTAGTTAATTTAGAGTGCCTAAAGTAATTCTCTAAAATAGTGTATTTGTTATATTTATTCATTTTGTTTTAATTATTGAAATATTGTAGTTATTGCTCAAAAGTACTATTTTGTCCCCAAATCTTCTATTTAACTCAGTTCAAACAAACATCCTGGACATTACCTTCATTATTTAGGTGTTATTTTAAAACACTGTATTACATACACATACAGTTATTTGACTTTGTTTATGTGTTTTTAAATACAGAACACCATGACCCACCATCCAGCCTTCCCACTCCCCCAAGTCCAAAAGGGGACTTCTCYTTCWTTGTGCGTCTGGGCAACAGAATCCCAAACACTGGTGCCCCCATCCCCTTTGRTAATGTTATCTACAATAACAAGAACATCTATGACTCCAAGACTGGGTACTTTACCTGCAAACGCCCAGGCTTGTATGAGTTTGTKTTCTATATTAGGATTAAGCAGAAAACAGGCAGAGTAGATCTGCTGCTTAACAATGAGYTGTATCTGCATGGGTTCACCACCCTCCTGGGTGGAGACATCATAGCCAGCGGCAATACCTATATCAGTCTGAACAATGGTGACAAGGTGTGGCTGGTGGCCAGACAGGGTGCCAGCAAACTGACCAGTGATAGCTACTTCTCTGGACGTCTGCTGTAACAACTTGATCTGTATAAACTTCCACTAAGCTTAAGCCATCAAGCAGCATATCGTTTATTTTTTGTTTTTCACATTGCCAACAATGTTTCAGAAACTGTGTCTTTGCTGCTTTTAACACGTATTTTGAATGAAGGAAAAATCACTTTACACCTGTAATTTAATATSATTTGGTACTAATTTCTAACATATTAAAAAATTCTTAAAGACATAATTTTTTTAAATATTTTTGTAATTCTGTTCCAGCTTTTTCCAAATTGTTGTAGCTCCTGCATGAGAGTCATGGGGCAAAAATATTAAAGTGAAATTTAAAAAAAATTAAAGTTCAAAGTGACCTTATTTGTCTCCCTTGGTATAAATTATTTTTCGATAAAAAAGATCTGTTGCACAGAAAAACACCTTCCACATTAAAACAACAGCACATCCTACTCCACTCACCCATAATTCCTTGTGACAGTTTTTCTGAGTCATTCATCCATTCATTGATGGCCTTTTCTGAATGATGGATGAATGAGTGCAGAACATGWGCGGCATCAGACAAAACTGTTTTCATAAACATGTAAGAAGCTTTAAGAAGTTAGATTTTTATTTAAATGCTTGCTCCTAAATAAAATGTAAGCCTTGGGATTATTTTGAGATTTGCTGTCAAAATATCTCTGGGTAAACCCTGAGAATACTGAAAGTGTTTTAAAGGATTCTCATAATTTGACCAGTAGATGGTGTTAATATACAAGTTTTCAGAAACAGAAAACTAGGAAATGTGTTTTTGGCTTAGATCCACATAATGTTCCACAAAACATATCTAAAAAATCTTTATTATTAGGAAGTTACATGCTTTTCAGTAATCATCAATCCCTTCAGTAAATATACAAAGATTATTTCTTGGATCTAAACAATATTAAAAATGTTTTCTTGGTTTTAACTCAGCAGGAAAACAATAAATTCCCTCTTAAGGTTAAATTTAATATTTGATTTAACTTGGTTAATGCAGTTATATTCATTGCAACTTTAAAGTTTGCTGGAAAAAATCATGTTGTATTTAAATGAAYGTTTCTGAATGAGTTTACAAAACAACTGAAACTGAACAAATTCAAGTTTTGCATATATCAAGCTTTTACCAAACTTCTCAGACACATGCATGGTAAGGTTTATTAGGAGTTTTACACACAAGACCAACACATATTTTTAAACTCATAAATATTTATTTGTTGAAATAAAACCAGGTGAAAATTGMTAAAAATAAACAACCCCCAAAATAAACAAGGTCAAAGACCTGCCAAAATGTGACCACGGCTGGGGAAAAACAAACGGAAACAGCTACAATGAGTGGGAAATYTGTCAAATTTGTTGTATAAAATCTTTAATTTAGAAGTAGAAACGAAAAGAAAATGAAAGTGGACATGGCACAATAAAGAACAGAAAGTAAGWCGGCACACTGAAATCACTGACAGGGAATCTGAGCTGCAACACCTGCGCTGCTTTCAAGTCAAACTGTCTGCAGTGAAGGGGAAAAGTTTTCAACGAGCAGATGTTAAACTGCATCCAAATTATGATCCCAATTTACCAGAAAACACAAACGTCTCATTTCAGGGAAGCATTATTATGCAGCTCAGATCAAACTTTTAAACTTATGGCTCAGTTTTTGTCCATTAGGCTTTCCATGGAGTACAGATATTATCTTTAATCGTTTTTTTTTTTGAGGGGGTTAAATTGCCATGAAGATGTTATGAATCAAAATGTTTGAACAAGTGATGGTTTGGTATATTGAGAAATGAGCCTGAAGGCTGCTGGTCCAGATTTAATTGCACATACCTACAGTCCCACAGGGATTTGCATCTCTTCTTCAAATGCGTAAACACAAAAAATGAGCGCAATATACTGCGATCGATAGGTGACGTGGTGGGTCGTTTTTTTTTTTAGTCCCTGTTGTTGTTTTCTGCACAGAGGAGAGACGGAAACCAGCTGTTGGGTCCACACACACACACACACACACACACACACACACACACACACACACACACACACACACACACACA